ATTGATTCTTCCTATCCATGCGCATGGTATGTTCTTCCATTTGTTTATGAGGGACACTTGTTTAACGTCTGAGAGCTGAAACAAGAAGGCAGAGCGTTGCCCTGTTCAGCCTCAGCTAGGAACATGCACATTGGGTGACTCAAAATTTGCTGCTCTGCACATGCCCATGAGTGACCTTGAAAGCACTTGAGTGTTGATTTTGGGATTACAGAGAAATTTTAGCAAGTAGGTGAATTCACAAATAGGAAATATGTAATAATGCCATCAACTCTATTTTGATGAGGCAGGTGGTAGCCAGCCATTAGCAAGATTTCAGCAGTGGAATAATGCAATGAGTTATATTTAGGAAGCCAGCTTGGTTATCCATTCCCTCAATTATCAATCGTTTAAAGAAAACTCACTGTGTATTAGACGGTGCACAGAGTGCTTGGAATGCAAATGAATAAATATGGTGCCTGCCCTTAAGGAAATTACAGGTAAGCAGAAGCAGTCTAAGGGAGAAGTCTGGGCTGGAGATGGGGAGGATGAGGCTATCAAAAGTCTTATTTAGAAAAAAACTTAAGGTGATGAGGACCTGGTATTGCAAAGTGACTGTGGGAGTGAGGAAGGAGGGCAAACACAAAGAGCATTAACTGGTTTATATTTTTGCTTGACTATTACAGTGAGGAAGAACTCCCATACATTTCATATTTAAGGCTGAGGAAGGGTATGCAAAAAAAAAAAAAAGAAAGAAAAAGTATGAAAGTATGTGCTTTTGCTCCAGTGAAAGAAGATAGTTTCCTCAAAGTGGGAGGCTTGTAGAGGGAAGTCATCAGGACTTCCCTCTACTTCAACTCTCATTATTTTAAATGAGAATAATGTTTGCTTCAACTCTCATTATTTTAAAATTCAGAATGATAAAAATTACATTATGTAAAATTAAGAATGAAATAAACCAAAACCAAAAGATTAGATTTACTGCTGCCAGTGGAACACACAAGTTTTCCAGATTCCAGATATCTTATTGGTTTCTATTTAAATCAGCTCTGAAAAATCTAGTAACAAAAATCTGTATGTTTACCTCATATACTAACATCGTCCGTCTACAATAACCCAAGTTCAGCAGCAAAGTGCTTAACTGTTAACCTTTTCTTGGTAGATTCATGTTGCTTTGTTTTCTATTTTCTGATTTTGGGGAATATATTTTCTCTTGTGTTTAGAGAAATAAGTTTATCATATCTGGATTTATTAATTAATAACATTCTCCTTATACTGCTTTGGGGCAGCTTTGGAAGAAGCTTATGGTTCTGTGGGATCTGTTACCACTTGGTCTGATCTGTTACCTCTTTGTCCCAAAGAGCTTCTCCTCTTCCTTGGCAGGCTCATGAGTTGGTTGAGTGTTCATTTTGACTCAAGTAAATTCACCAAATAATCATCTGCTCTCTGAGTGCCAGCCACTGTGCTGGGCCTGGGGATGAGAAAGATGTAAACGTTCTTATTGCCAAAGAATTAACAATTATCAAAGGCTAAGGGAGTCTTCAGGCATTAAATTTTGCTTAGTGCTTTACCTTGCAGATATTAACCTCTCACTGCCAATGTGAAAGGTGAAAGGAATAGAAATGTGAGTGGTAGAGCAAGAATAGGCCACCTACTTGGCCAAGGCTCTGCTTTCAGATGCCTCTAAGCACCTCTTAAACTCATTGGGTAACAAAGACTTTCAAAATCCAACCTTTGTAATGAGAAAGAAATCAAATTCTGGAAGAAATGTGAATCAAGGCAAATACCTTCACTGAAAGCATTTCCCCACTTCTCTCATTTGCTTTTTTTCTTCTCCAAAATGCCTATCCCATGAAAATACTCCTTCTCTACTTCATACCATGAACACTTTCTTGTTAGGAAATAAACAGCAAACAAACTCAATGCATTGACAGGGTATTATTGGTAATACAAGTGCACATGCAGAAGCATAACAATAAGAAGACATTTCAGGCTTCTCTTGAGGGTTACTATGCAGGGAAGAGTTTGGTAAGGGAGTGTCCCACACAGCATCGTACTTGTGGATACATGCTCAGGGTTATCTTGTCCTTGTTAACCTGGAGAGTAAATTCTCATACCCTCCCTTAGCTTTTATTACCAGACAACATGGTCTTTGTTTTAATAAGTATCTGTGACTCTAAAGGATCATTCTAGGAACGTCACAATACCAATGTGTTTTGAAGGTCATGACACCAAAATTTTATAAATGCAATATTGTGGAGGCTGTTGAGAAATGAGGATAATAGGCTGATTTAGTCATATGCCTCTTCGTGTAATTGCTGAAAGCAAGATGAAATCATTTTGTTGCATCTGTGGAATATGATGGGACCTGTCTGCTGCAGGAAAGGGAAGGCAGCTGCCTGTGGGTGTGGCATGAGGAAGGAAGGAGCTGCCCACTCTAATGATGGGTCTTTCTGGTCGCAAAGTCTCATCCTTCCGGTCCTAAGAGTAGAACACTGGGGTAAAGTCATTGCCTCTTGAAGGACTAGTTAAAACAGATATTCCCTGCTTTGTGGAATTGGTATAATTGTAAAGGATTGTTGCGTGTATGAAATGAGATGATCCATGTAATGTACATTGTTTAATTGTGTATATATTAGCTGCTGCTGTTACTTTTAACATTATTATCATTTTTATTATATGCAGCAGAAGCCCTTGCCCTGACTATCAGGGTCTAAAGAATTTGTTGGTCAAACCTCACCTCCTCTAAGTGGTGACTCTTTGTTCTGACTGAGCCCCATGGCATTGGTGCAAGTCACTTGCTAACACAGGGGTGCAGTTGCGTTCAAATGAGTCATGTGGATGTCCTGTGTTTTTCACTTTTGGTAGTTAGATGGAGAAAAATTAATATGGAATAATATAAAGCCTAGTAAGTCATATTCCACTTCTGAGAAATGTGTTTTGGTTAACAAACTCTTTTCTAAGGTATAAATGAACTGGGTTTCATTTTTTTCATCTAGAGTTTGATAACCAAGATCGGATAAGGCATGAGGATGTGCCGATGCCTAGAGTGTGTAGGAAGGGGAATCTTGCACTTGGGACCATTGGTGAAAGGCTGACTTTGTTTGGAGGAATGGCCTGGTGGAGTGCCAGCCCCTGGGTGCCTGCAGGACCAGGCTGGTAAGAAGGAGGTAGGAAGGTGAGGGAGCGTATCTTGCCGAGGGCAGGTGAATGGCTCATGTGGCACTGAAATTCCCCAGCAGGCTGCCTGTAGCTGGATATGGGATAGGTTGCCAGTGCCTGGGGTGAGATGTCAAGACTAGTTTGGAAAGCTGAAATTTAAAAATGTATTGTATTTTTGGCCAGCTCATTGTCTTCTAACCCAGCTTCTGCAGTTTATTCCAGCTCAGCAGTCTCTCTTCCCTCAGACTTGACTTCTTTTTCCGAAGTTAAAATAGAAAAGAAAAATAGAAACCATGAAAAAAGAGAAGAGCATTTTCCTCCTTTGCCTACTGGAAAAGTCGATCTGATTTCTAGGTCTCTTACCTCTCTACCTTTTTCATCTTTATTATGTACATAAGCCAGGGCTTTTAAAGCCTCTGCCTGGAAATGCTTAGGGCCTTTTGTATTTTTTTTTTTCAAATTGATCTCTTATGAAGAAGTGCCATCCCTCCCCTAACTGCTAATAGGATTAGTGTACTTAAAATTAATATTCTAGCCTCTTCTAAATACAGAAGTGAAGATAGCAAATTATCTTTCTCTTATATTTTTATACTTCCATGAACAATCATAAGTTCCCTTTAGTTACGTAAACAGAGGCATCTGTTATGTTGAGGAAAGGATCGAAGGAGTCTTTGGATTTTATGAAGACAGCTTTTATCTGTATTCCCTTGGTATGCAGTTCTCTTAGGAGAACTAGTTGGGATTAATAGACAAATTAGAAAAGTAAAATAGATATGAATGTGTTTGTACCTCAGACTGGTGAAGTGAGTCAGACCAGTTATATTCCCAAGGGGATTATGAAAGGTTTTCTTAGGGCACCTGAGTAAGTACTTGGATGAAAACCAAGAAAGTGCCACATACTGTTGATGCCAGGTTCTCAGTGGGCATTCCTGTAGAAAACTGAGAAATGTAGCTGGTCAGGAGAACATACCCAGTGTTTTTCTCAACTTGGAGAGCGAGATCAGTTTAATTCTTATTAAACATCTAACATATAGAAGGCATGCCCATCTCATGGGGGCATCGGGAGGTGGCAAAGGGAATTGTTCTCTTTCCTCACCTCACAATGCCCCCTTTCCCAGCCCTTCTCCTACCTGTACCCTAACACTTGTGATTTCCACACAAAGAGGAGCTTTGTCCGTCTTGTTCACTGTTGAATCCTCAGTGCTTAGAGCAATGTCCAGCACCCAGGAAGCACTCAATAAATTACCCATTTAAAATTGATAAATGAATTAACTTAAACTGGGAAAAAATATTGAAGTTGTTGAATGACAGACTTAGGACCTTAAAGAGATCTACTAGAATTATAAGTTGAATCTACCATGATAAAATGTAATAGGGAAAAAGTGAAAAACCCCTCCCTTAGGTCAAAAATCAACTGTACAATGCCTAGATGAAGAGATACAACTTGGCAATACCTTATATGAAAATGTATTTGATAGTAAACACAACATAAATCAGAAATGTGCTATGATTGGGATAAAAATTTAATATGATTGTAGGCCATGTTAATTACGACATAATATCTAGAGTAGAGGAGGTGATAGCACTTGTCTTCTCTATGTTGATATCAGGTGTTACTCGGAGTACTATATTCTATTCTTCTATTGTGGATACTAAACTCAAAAAATGATGTGAGAAATTAAGGGTGTGTTTAATGGAGACTAGTCAAGATCATGAGGGGACTCAGAAAGTGAAGGATAGTTGGTAACATTGAGGACAGTTTTAGGCAGCCCAAGAGAAGGTTCAATGAGTTTCAACCTCCATGTATCTGAGGAGGAACTATTCTTTGGAAGAAGTATCATATTTGTTCTTTGTGTTTTCAGGGACCAAACCTAGGGCAAATGTGTGGAGGTTTCAGGAAGACACATGTCATCTCATCAAAAAGAAGGACGTCAAGGTTTGTCTGAGCTGCACTGAGCCCCATGGAGAGTGAATCTTCTGCTTCCGGAAGTTTTCAAACAGGTTGCAAAAGACTGCAGGCTCAAGTACCCAGTTGAACCTGAGGATCTGTCGGATATATTCAGTAGAGATAAGTCATGTGGGCAGATGGGGCTGCTAGGAGAAATCGCATGTTTCATTGATTTCAGGACCAGCCCAACATTAGAATTCTTTCTCTTGAACTGCACTGCTGGGATACAATTTAAGAGTACTCTCATTTACCTGGTCTGCCTCTGTGAAACCTGCGTAATGTAACTGAGATCACCCGGAATTTGTAAGTAGATGCAATTATTCATTTAACAACTATTTATTGAGCACTGGCTCTGTGTACTGAAGTACTTGCTAGAGGTTGAGGTAGAATAATAAACAAGATTCATTTCCTGTCTTTAGGAACCTTAAAGGTATAGTGCCCACAGGACCTCTGCTCTAAACACTAATATTTCAGCTTGGAGGCTCCATTCTCAGACTTGACTGAGCATTTGGTTCACTGCCTTGTATAATTTGTGTGCTTATTGGTTCTGCACATGGACTAACATTTCCTTGAATTCAGGGATTGTTTCTCATTGTTTAACTTCAGCACAATCTCAAAGTACAGTGGTTGGCATAATAGCAGGTATTCAATAAATGTTTGTATAAACAAAACAAACTATACAGATCACTGCCCTGCAAATGAGTTGAGAACAAGAATATATCCTGGGAAAGTTTGGTGAAGGGACAGTGTCTTAAAAAGCTGAAGGAATCATTAAAAAGTCTTCTAGGCCTTGGGGATGAGGGCAGGAATGGGGTGGGGATTGGGTGGGAGTTGACAAATCCAGATTGGGTCAAAGGATGATGAAATTGGCCACAGAACCACTAGACAGGCTATGACAACAGCCTGGGTTATGGGAGATGGGTAATGTTGGTCTTTACTAAGGGGTCGCACCAGCCTTGGTAATCACTTAGTCTAACATAGCATTCGGTACCAAATCACACATATAAGAATGGGTTATGGAAATGTCAGAACTTCCAGTTGAGTCATTTAGAGAGAGGAAGAGGAGCGAGTAGTTTCAGAGAGGTCTGAAACTTGGTTTTAAGTTAGGGAAGTGCTTTTCTTATTGTAGGGAATGTGGCTGGGCTCAGAGGGTCAATTCAGAACAAAAGGGGAGTCTACCTCCTCAAAGATGTGAGGTTAATTCTAATAAGCAGCATTTGGAAGAAGCTGAAGATCCTACAGGATCTGGAAGCCAGGTCTCCCTAGGACAAAGGGTCTGCTCAGTGTGGTCTAGCTTTCAAAAGAGACAAGACTATGGCAAGAAGAAATCAGAACTGACTGCCAAGCTGAGCCAGCCAGGTTGATCCAGATGGACACTTACACTTGAATAAACAACGTGCTTTTCTTCTTAATCAATGTTTATATTTTGAATTTTATTTTCTCACATTTTTAAACATTCATTTTTCACAACCAGACTTAGTGAGTCTTTTTATGAGAGTGCGTGGGGCTACTAGGAGCATGACCTCTGGGGTATGGAGACACATTTTTATGTCTGACATTTAGATCTGTCACTTGTTTGCTGGGTGTCCTTGAGCAAGTTTCTTCACCTTCCTAAGCTTTAGTTTCCTTGTTGTAAAGTAAGGGTGATGATAATACTTACCTCATAGATTTCTTGAGAGAACTAAAAAATGTCTGTAAAGTGTTAACATAGCATTTGAGTTCCACAAATATCAACTCTGTGGTTACTGATGTTACTAAGGTGAAGAGGCAAGAGGGCACTGTGATGATTGTTGCCTCCAAGCTGAAAGAAAGACATCCTCATATTCGAGAAGGAAGAAGAGATAAGAAATTCTGCTTTGGGCATGTTGAGTTTAACGAGTCAGTGGGAAATCCAGGCTGAATAAGAGTCCAGAAGTCAGGAGAGGATAGGGCCAAATATTTGAATATATGCATCGAAATGCAGAGGTGGTGAGTAAAATAAAATAGAAAGGGAGAAGGATCTGGTCTTTATATTCAAGGGTTATCAGAAGAGAGTGACTAAGAAGGAGATCAGAAGGAACAGTTAGAAATAGATGAGAACCAGGATAAAGGCATATTGAGAAAGTCAAAGGATGGATGTTTGATTATGGAAGAAGTGGCCAAGGGAGATAAAAGTAAGCCAAGGCTGGAGGTGGTCTTAGATTTAGCAATGATTGTACCTCTTGTTTCCCTTATTAGGGCAGACAAGGGAGCAGTCATAGCAAAAACCAAACTGATGTAGATTGAAAAAGAAAGAAAAGGTAAAACATTCATAATATATGAAGAAAAATATCAGATTAAAAATCATATGTCTGGCTGGGTGCAGTGGCCCATGCCTATAATTCCAGCACTTTGAGAGGTTAAAGTGGGAGGATTGCTTGGACCCAGGAGTTTGAGACAAGCCTGAGTAGCATAGTGAGATCCTATTTCTACAATAAAAATGAAAATGAAAATTAGCCAGATGTGGTGGTTCACACCTGTAGTCCCAGCTACTCTGGAGGTGGATGTGGGAGAAATGCTTGAGCCCCACTGTGGTGAGCCATGATAGCACCACTGCCTCCACCCTGGGCAACAGAGTGAGACCCTGTCTCAAAAAAAAAAAAAATCATTTGCCTATTATAACCCATTTTTATTAAAAAATGAAGTTAAAAAAAGAAATATTTGCATGGGGGATGGTATTTAAAGCATAACTATTCTTTTCTAATATCACTTGCTGACTGCTTGTAAAGACTGGAGGGCTAAGCTTCCCCTAGACTATTATTTTCAGTTCTGTGCTACTTATACCTGCTTTGGACTTGCAGACCTTGCCTCTGGTGTCCTCTCTGCTCTATACTTGATGACCAAACTCTGCTTCCAGTGCCTGCTTTTTTGGTGCTCTCCAAAGACTGAACAATTACACAGCTCTGGCTCTTTCTGCTTCAGGCTGCTTTAGAAATGTATTCCACACATCCCACTTGACCCCTGGGACACAGATTCTGGCATAAGAATGTGCCTGTGCCAGCCTGCCCCAGGAGGCAGGTGCACATGCTCTTAGGAGTTATACGATGAAAATATGTATGTTTCTGCAGAAGTATTGCTCATTAGCAAATCGAAGCCCCAGCAAAATTGGTTACTGTAGGAGATAATGTTCCCACAAAATCACTTCCCACTTTTCCATGCTGAGTCATGTCCTGGTTTCATTTTCTCAGGCAGGCAACAACTCCTGTCAATGTCACAGGACATTTTTTTCTTAAATCACTGATTGGAGAGTTTTATACACTTGAAGATAAGTTACGTTTTAAAGCTCAGTCATGAGAGAAGAAGGAAGCCAGGAGTTGATGGGAATACATGTTTCCACTCACCTCAAGCCTTCACAGCACCCCCACCAGTTCATGTGACTTTGGATGAATCCCCAGCCCTTCATTCTGTAATCTGTAAAAGGGAATCGTGATGACAACTTTACCTGTTGTGAGAAACCCATGTGTTAATGGTTCAAAGGGCTAAAAGAGCTGATTGTCCTTAGTAAACAGTCTTCAATTCTGCCTCATTTTACTCCCAGAAAGTATCTCATCTTTTTCCTGACTGAGAAGCTCGTCCCACGAAAAGGGAAATGTTTAAGAAAATAGAACCATTTAGTATGAATTGTAATCTCCAACTCAAAATGTTTCTTTACTCTTAGGCTTCCTCCCGCTCTTGTGTGATGCTTAGACTAGCCTGCTGCTACCTTCTCTTGGATTCTGGAAGGTGTAATATTTTTGAAAAACTATCCTATGGCTTTTTTTTTCCTATGGTACTTTCTCCTCTTTGTCTCTTACTTGCCTCCATGTAAATAACTAGCCCATATGTATTGCCTCAGGAGAGAGAAAAAGCTTTGTTGGTGCTTTCGTTTCTTCATTAGGGCTTAGAACAGGAGTGAGGCCAAGACAGAAGTGGCTTGGAAAATAGGGAGGAAAACTTCTCATGGATGGCCTCCCCAACAAGGAAGGATTCCTTGGGCTATCAGAATAAGAAATAAATGAGAAAAGGCAAGTAAGCTCAGGGGGTTCCTGAAAAATGTCCTGTGCCAACCTGGAGGCTTTGGCAATAACTCCAGATAGCATGGGGGATCTGAGGAGAGAGACCCTATGCCTCATTTCTCTTCAGAGCAGCTGGTGAGAGAAGGGAAAATGGCTCTGCCATGCGGCTCTAACCAGATGGGATGTTAGACAGCTCCTAGAGTTTCTCACACCATATTATTATGAGGGAGCAGCAAATGACATCTTTGCATCCAAGAATGGTGGAGAAGGAGTTCCTGAAGGGACTGTGCAGGTGGAAACCAAGGACATTTTTTTCAGGCGCCCAGATGGACCAGCCACTGAGGGGGAGGTGTGATCTGAGATGGGACAGCAGATGCCAGTGTGAGATGACTCTGAGGTTCAAATGCAAGTGTTCCTTCAGTTGTCCACTCCCATCACACACATGTGCACACACACACTAGCGACACACATGCATGTCAACCACACACACATACATACCTTAGCACTAGGTAAGATTGAAGAATTTAGATGGAAATAAAACTTGGAGAGAATTAGGTTACATTTCTACTACCTCAATGGGATAGGGACTCAAGAAAGAGATTGGTTTCTGAAACAAATAAAGCTGTATTTCTAACATATCAGAATTTGGAGACTAAGATGCTTCCTACACTTGATTAGCTGTTCTTTCTTCTTTTAATCTTTTCTCTTCTTTTTTCTGCTGTTATCCATCTCTGTTACTTTCCATAGCGTCTTCTCTCTTGACTTACATATGTGTGCAGGCCTTTTCTAACATTAATGCCAAAAAATAGTAAAGCACAGATCCCCAGTTCTCCCTGATGCCATCTGTTTGCAGCTCACTAGGACCAATCTCATTGTTTTCTTGACTCCTGTTTGTTTCAGTTGCTGTAAGAAGTCCAAGACTTCTTCTGTTCCCCCTTTATCTTCCATGCTTTTCATGTGATTCTGCACATACCAATTTTGTACCATGTCCAACCCCTCCCCAACTCCTGAAATCTTTCCATTGGACCCTCAGGGACTCATGGAACATCATAGTCAAACCTTTGTAGCACCAGCTGTTTGGATTCCTGTGCTCATCATTTGCCTGCTTGTTTTCAGGCCCATTTCCCACTTTTCCTCTTCTCTGCTCTCTATTACAGGTGACAGAGCTCGTCAAAAGCTCCGTTGTCACCTGGCTGCCATCTAGGCTCAGAAAATAGAAAGCACTGGTGGAACATTAACGAGTGGTGGCAAAGGAGAAACAGGGCATTCCTCCACATCCTCTCCACATGA